TAAAATGCTTTTCAAATTTAAAAAGGACCAAAGTTGCAAAAATTTTCCAATTTGGGCCAAAATTGTAAAAACTGCGAAAAAGAGGGGTTATAACCGGGAAAACTGCAATTTCAGGGACTTAAACTGTTTTCAATGAAAAATATGCTGAAAAATATTAATTTCAATAATTTTTGGTGTTAAAATGTCAAGAAAATGATTTAAGGACCAAACCGGAAAGTTATTCAATTAGAGGGTTGAAAAAGTAAATTTTACAAACAATGAGGGGCTAAAAACAGAAAACTTTCAAGGCTAATTCAATACGCGCAACTTGATCAAATATTGGCACCGCGACTACCTACGTAATACAATACACAACAATACCAAAAAACGTTGTTAAACGACTTGATTCGGTCTCGAATCAATAACAATCCGAAAATACTAACACGACGATACCTCGATTCATACACAAAAACATTTGGTAATTCAATATACACGTGAGAGTGCACAGACGTCTACGCACCATCTTTGGGCCCCAAAGTGTAAAATCTTGTTTGTTGGGCCTAGCTAGCCCAATGACCTGATCTTAAGGCCCGAAGACTTCTACCTTACGAGTTGTTGGGTCTTACATGATCTAACACAGCGTAAAAGGACTTTCAATGGCTTATATACTATTGGTCCCCAAGGGTCCTATGGTATTGCTAGTAAAGTCGGTATTTCATGCGAGGCGGGTCAAGGGCCCCTCGTACCTTTTTTCTTCCCAACCGGTTAATGGAGTCATCGGGGTCTTCGTGTCCTCTTTCTCTTCGGATGTGGGATTACTCGAAGTCAGGGCGGTTGGATAACGTGATTAGTACGGACGACGCCTACGGGATCGTTAGTATAGTTATAAACGGGTCGTTTGTGTAACGCGTGTTTATAGCAATTAATCATGCGCAAAAATAATCCGACGTCGCCTGGACTTAATGACTTCGCGCGCTGCAATGGTTTTATTTTTAACTTCATGGAATCCAAGGAATTAGGAAGACATCGGGTTTTCCTAGGGTTTTTCGATACACAAGGTTTTCAAAATGTACCCAATTTTGACGAGCATTCTTCTTACAACTATAGAAACAAACAAGCATACTTATGGATCTTCACAATGTTTTCAAAAGCTCTTTCAGAAAATATCGGATTTTCTGGTGGTTTTCAAAACGATACAAAACATTGTTTTTCAAATAACGCTTATGAACTCACCAACATTTCACATGTTGACGTTTTTTTTTTCAAAATACTTGTATTCTCAAGTAACCAGTGAATCAAAGGAAAATGTACTCAGTGATGGCTTGCAGTTTACTTATTAACGAACCGAACAATTTATTTTTGGGAATGTAATGTTTGAACAATGTACTGCATGTAAACTTTATCAGTTGTACTATATTAATGCATGGTGACGAATGTTGTTATGTTTCATATATATTCAATGTTATGGTATTCAATTAAGTCACACCAGCTCCCGAACATTTCCGCCGTCTGGTTCGGGGGTGTGACATTCATGCATTTTGGTTGTATAAAGTTATATTAAAAAAGAGTTGATTTTATATTTCAGAAGATGATGTTGTGTATAAACAAGCCATTATGACCCATGTGTTGTTGTGGTTGATATTTATTTATTCATGAAGATATAATAGTTGAATAAGTATTTTTTTTGTTTATATTGTATGTAATTAAATAGTTTTAGACTAGTTTATTCTTTTTCCAATTGTAACAATATTGAAGAAATTACTTATATTAGAAGCATGTTCTTTTTCTTAACCACTTAATATTAAAATCCTAACCTTGAGTTTGAACTCATGGTTTTGGGCTTAATTATGGTTTTAATGGTTTAAGTCTTATACCATATGTCTTGAAGTCCTTTTTGCAAGTAATAGTTGTTTGGAAAGTGGCAGCTAGAATATCTTTTGAAGTATCCCTTAAGTTCTTATAGGAAAGACTTAACAATTCTTGTGTTGGCTTACAAAAACTAATAGTGGTAAATGACTTGGTTTATATATTTTTGTTGTATGCTTATGATGTTTATTTTATTTTGGTATATTTAATGTTATGTGTATGAAAATAGGTTTTGCATGCTATATTGCATGTTTCTATTAATTTATCAATGACTAATAAATTAACAAACTAGATCCTAATTATCCCTCTTGTCAAATAGTGCAAAGATTTTCTCTTGCGTGTAACCTAAAATGACCAAACCATGAATAGTAACATTACCAACTTGTTGTGATTGTGGGTTGTATTACCAACATGCATGTTAGGGGTTGGAAGTTGTTTCAAGTAAAGCGAGCATTGATTTTAAAATGGAGATATCAATATCCTCTATGTTTGGAGGCTCTTTGGGTGCAAATATAGATTGTATTCATGGTTCAGGTTTATTTAGTGTTATGAGTCGTGTTTCTTCCTCTTTGTCTTCGCAGTCAGGGGTGCTCAAGGTTATTGATTAATTCAGGAAATAGGTTTGGATTTGATTCTTTTTTACCCTATTCACATAGGCGATGGTAAGCATATATAGTTCTGGTTAGATGTTTATTTAGGTAATAGACCTTTTGGGACTGTTTTGATGAGTTTTCTAGTAGTGGATGCAATATAAAACTCTATGTTTATATGCACCCTAATGGATCTAAGTTTATTTTATTATAGCAACCTACTTATGAAAAACAATGAAAATTTACTAACCTCTTTATCATCTTGATCTTCTGGTAGATTCTGTAATTAAGATATGGTTAAACCCACCTTTTCTTTGGATGAAGAGGACCCAATAGCATGAATCCCTCTTTTTCTTGAACCTAAGGCTCCAAGAGCCAAGGATGGATCTTGACTAGGAAAGGTTCTTAGGTAGAGGGATGGAGATGATTCTATTACATGTCCTATTTGTTAGTTACATGAGGAGACAATAGTTCATATTTTTATTATAGATTCTATCTTGAAAGGTTTATGGTCGAATATTGCTATTTGGTAGGATTTTGCTATTTTGCTTGAGGAGTCGATTCGTGGTTCCTTTCTTAATCAGATATGGTTATGGTCTCAACTTTAGTTTGAAAACCATTTGATGCAATGGTTATCTCTACCTTATGGGTGGTATTTAGATTCATAAATGGTCTCATTTTTGGAAACGTTTTGCTTAAGCTCTCTAACTTATTTGATAATATTCTTAGTATCGTTTTCTTTTGAATTTCGAATAGGTGTGAAAAAGCTAGGTTTTTCCGGAGCAATTAGCTCCAAAATCCGACTTTTCTTGTCATTCTCTGTAATGTTTTTTTTAGCTTCTCACTTGTTTTTTAGGGGTTGTGCTATACGTAATCCCCTTAACCAAATTTACCCCCCTTAAACTCAATCAAATCAACTTTTCGACATTTGATTTAACATCATTACATTATAGATCACAAAACTTTTTTATTTTTATTTTTATTTTTATTTTTTATTTTTTATTTTTTTAATGGAAAACATGTTTTTTTAAATAAATTCGTTGATTTTTTTTTGAATTTTTTAAAAAGAATTTTTAAAAAAAAATTGATTTTTTTTATTTTTATTCAGCGAATTTATTAAAAAACCTGCGATTCTTTATAATTTTTTTTTTATAATTTCTAAGTATTTTTTATGTATTTTTATGATTTTTAAGGTTTTTTTGTTTTCCAAATAACCCTTCCCTATATATATAATAATGAAATATAAAATAAGAAAGAATTAAAAAATCGATTTTATATAGTCGTTTGAATTTAAAATGTCGTTCTATTTATAAAATGTTGTTCGAAATTTATACAATTATTATTATTATTGTTATTATTATTAAAATATAAAATAAAAATAACTAAAAACCGATTTTATATATTCGTTCGAATTTTATAATGTCGTTCGAATTCATAATATCGTCGGAATTATAAAATTTTATTCAAAATTTATTATAATAATAATAATAATAACAAGAATAATAATATTAAAATATAATAATAATAATAATAATAATAATAATAATATAAATTAAAAAGGAATTAAAAAAACAAAAAAAAACAAAATAGAAAAAAAACAAAATAATAATAATAATAATAATAATAATAATAATAATAATAATAATAATAAAAACAGCGGAAAAACAAAATAGAAAAAAAAAACAAGAAAACAAAATAGAAAAAATAAAACAACAAAAATCAAAATATCAAATCTGGAGGTGAAATTAAAAATAAGGAAAGTTACTTATAGAAAACCACTTTTTTAATAAGTTTATGTTGTCCCTGTATATTTCCCCGTTGTTTAACATCCCTATTTTTTTTTTACCATATGCAGTTGAATTGAATTTATGTATAATTAATATTTGTAAATTACTATAGAAAAAGATGCATTTAATTTAAGATATATTTGCTATAATTATTATTTATTTGTTGAAAATTACTACATAGAAAAAGCTTAATAATTTTATTAATTATATTTTTGGGATATGATGCCTATAATTATTATTTAAACAAATAAAAATACTTAATATATTCCCTTAACAGCGGAGTCAATAAGTTGTTGCTAACAACGACGTCCCTTTATCGTCTATTAAAAGTGAAGCAAAGTCGGCCAATTTTTTCATCCCAATATTTATTAAATAATAATAATGATAAGTAATATATATTAAGAAATCAGATGGGATTGCAATAATGTCATGCTCAAACTCTTAATACTAAAAAATAATTATAATATATATTTAAGACGATATATTGTTTATAGTATGATAATAATAATAATTATTATTATATCGAAGGTTGTAGCTAGATATTAGTGGGGTGAAATTTGGTTCACCATATATCTTAGCCACATATGTATCTATCTAAACCTCAAACTGAAAGTACAAAATTCAAACAAATGAACTAGTTTACACAGTAAAGAAGGTAACGCCATCACTTTTAGTATATCTTTTCTTTAATGTGATTTCTTTAATCACATATAAGCTATTATCCTTTAAAATTTCTTGTAACTTGTTAAAGAGGAAATTAAGCTAACTAATATTCTGAATGGCAACTAGCGATTTGGAGTTTGGAGCTGGAGATAGCCTTTGCCATTCTGTCCAGTTTCTGCTTGATTGTAAAGAAAAAGGAAGAAAACTTGGCAACAATAGTCTAGCATCAATTTTCATGGTTCCTAGGGTCTGCCGGGATCACAGCCCAAGTTCTTTTAACCCTCGGGTGGTCTCTATTGGACCTCTCCACAGACAAGATAAAAATTTGCAAGAATTTGAAGTTCAAAAAACGACTTATTTACATCATCTACTGGATCTTTCAGGTTGCAACCCACAGAAAACGTTACAAGAATGTGTGCACAAGGTGAGTAGGAAAATAAAACTCGTCAAGGCATGTTATGCAGAGTCAATGATCTACAATGATGAAGAACTTGTTAGAATGATGGTTATAGATGCTTGTTTCATACTTGATTTCATTCACCTTCTTTCAGAAGATGATGGACCATTTCCAGTAAGCATGTTGATTGCTCCATCAATAGTTAATGATATGGTGTTGATAGAAAACCAAATCCCTTTTTTTGTTCTTAAAGACATCTTTGAGTCCACTATTCTCCAATTTAAACCAAAGACCTCTCTTACTAACCATATCAAGATACTTCTCAGACACTACAATATCTTTGGAGCAAATTTAGTACAACGTAATTTCAAACTAGATACAACTCATGATCATATTCTTGGCTTTCTACACAAATGTTTCCAGCCTTTGCATGATATCCCGACAGGATCTAGAACACATCCGAAGAGGCACGTGACCATGGACCTAGATAGAGCAGGGGTGAACTTTATGCCTAATGAAGATGCAAATTGGGCAATGGCCATGAAACTAGAATTACCAAGGTTTTCATGCTTCGCATGGTTTTGGTGTAAGCCTACTTTGCGGATGCCAAAAGTGACTCTTAATGATGACAGTGAACCAGTTTTAAGGAACCTCATTATTTACGAGCAGTCATCTCTAGTTCCTAATTACGTGACATCATATGTTTGTGCCATGGATATGCTAATTGATACTCCAGACGATGTTGCAAAGTTGGTAAAATCAGGTGTTATTGCGAATAAATTATGCTCGAATGAGAAAGCTGTGAATATGATAAACAGTGTATGCAAAGATGTTGCCTTACTGGAATTTTTCTACCATCAAGAGTGGCAAGAATTGGATGTGTACTACAATAGTTATTGGCCTAATGCTGCTGCAGGGTTGAAGCGTACGTATTTCAGTAGTCCATGGAATATGATTGCTTTATTTGCTGGAATTGTTTTGTTTGTTCTTACGGTAGTTCAGACAATCTTTACAATCAAGGCTGCAAATCCAATGATTGTTATTAAACATTAAATTATTATGTGTATTTTTCTTTTTTGCTTCTTTACAAGTTCTATAAGGTTTTCTTCCTCTCTTTTTTTAAAACATCCATGTTCAACAAGTATAAATTTTAATTTTTGTTGGTTTCACTTAGTTGTTCTTATTTTATTTTACTGGCAAAAATTGACCCAAAACCCGCCAACCAACCCGAACCCATTGTCACCTCTATTATTTATTTGAACGATGCCCCCCTTCTTCTCCTCTTCCTCCTCCCCGAGTCCACCCCCACCCCCACCCCTCAAAAAAAAAGGAACAAAAACCCTTTTATTTAGGCATCAAACTAGGTCTAGACCATCTTCCTCCTCTTAAAGCCGTTTTAAGTAGGGGCGGATGTAGGAACTAAAACGAGTGGTACCAAAAACAACTTTTACTACAAAAAATTAGACGAACTCAAACAAAAAAAAAAAAACTTTTACTAAAAAAATTAGTTTGAGCAACATTAAAGAAACTCAAACTTTAAACCAAACATTTTAGGTTTTATAGAGTTTGTAAGAGGTCCAAGCCCTTAACCACTATGTAACTTGCAAAAGACGAGCTGCAAAAATAAAAAAAACATGACTTCCTCTAGTTTAGATTTGTCTTCTTTTCTAAGAGATTTGATTCTCATCTTTCCTTCCACCGACAATGCGGAATGAGATAAGATTCCTTGATATCATATATTTTCAATATATCAACAAGTTGAAACAAATTTCTCATTTTTATTAGTATTTTTTTCAAAACTGATGTCATCAAGTTTAAAAACCGGAACTTAATATAATATATTATGCATAGTTAACATTACAAATTAAATTTCTATGTAAAAAATAACATAGTATGTTTTATTAGGTACTTGTTTTGGTGGTTGACATGATCATGTTGGCAATTAAAATGAGTTTCTCATTTTTATTAGCAATTTTTTCCCCCAAGTCCGGTAAAACTAGGTTTAACCTGGATGTAACAGCCCAAAAATCCAGATAATATTTTTCATTTCTAAATAATGTTTACAACCATAAGGTTGATACTAGAAATCCATTACAAAAAACCATCATACAAAATCATCAGTTTATCCATATCAATGAATGCGGAAAATAGTGGAGAGTGCATGCTGCGCCATCAAGCCAGACCCTTCCCCTTGGAACTAGACGCACCTGAAATCACATTACAACTGTAAGCACACGCTTAGTGAGTTTTCCCAAAATAACACATGCAATACATACAAATGGGCCCAACCCTGGGGTTCATTCCAACCCAAAACAAGTATGGGCCCCCACCCTAGGGCCTCACCTTGGGTTTTATTTCAACCCAAACCGATCGCAGTGGGTCCCACCCTGGGTATGTTTCAACTCATCGTGTCATACTAGGTCCCCCGCCGTGGGGTATATTTCAACCCAAACATAACATATAACATACAACACAAATGAATATTTGGCCGACCTTGGTGCTTTGGACCCGAAGTTATGGTGAGAAGACTCACCTCAGTCTGCTAAGGCAATCACTGCTCGGCCACTAATCCAAAAGATCTCACACTGAATAAGCATACAAATACCCTAATTAGGATTATGACACAACTTAGCCAAAGGCCCAAAATCCTAAGTCCAACACTCTTTACTAAGCCCATATGGCTTACTTCCTAAATGGACCCGCATACAAGGTCCAAAACAATAATGGGACACAAGGCCCAATAGGCCCAACCCTAACTACCATGACCCAAAAATAATGTCCCAGGCCCAATTATGTCACACCCCAAAACCGAGAACGGCGGAAACGTTCTGGGGCGGAGGACGTCATGTAACGTATCACAACACAGTAAATGTAAATAAGCAAACAACATCATCCATTGCATTAAATATAAAATTTTAATACAAGCGTCATCTGTACATTATAGACACCAAAAATAACGTAAATCAAAATAATAAGATGAGTCTTGGATACGCTCCATCTTCTCAAAAGCTGGCCTCGGTACCTGTCTACTGATGACCTGAGAATACAAGTTATTTTGAAAGAGTTTATCAGCATTAAGCTGGTGAGTTCATAAGTATTTTAGTGTCGGTATTTGTCATCCAAAAATGTTTGAACATTTATCAAGCATAAGTTTGTGAAAGGTATGTAAAGGTTTGTAAGTGTTTGTAGAAGTTTGAATCTCTCAGAAAAACCTATATTTTCTATTAAAGTAGCCTTCTACCAAGGCTTAACTGTTTTGCATACTCGTTTGTCGTAAAAGTGTGTAATTTACCCAAGTGTAACTATCTTTTAACAAAATATAGTTTGTACATTAAAGTTTAAGTGAGGTTATCACTAAAAATGTAATGGGTAAATCATTGTAGTACTGTAGTTTTGCTTTATAGGAACTACTTCCGTACTAACTACCTTAAACCGTATTTATATTAAGGTATCATGTGATAAATTGCACCATACTATCGACATGTAACAACGACAACGTATAGTCGAAAAATAAGTTATGACGTTTGGCACCCGCAGACCTGTCGGTCCCACTGTAGCTAGCAGCAAGGTGTAGGATAGTCAATCCAGTATAGATCTATACGCAAACTCAACGCTCTCCCTCCAAGAGAATTTTGGCTACAACTCAGGCCATGACATTTAAGGCATGCTCTGATACAGTGGATCACAATCGTTAACGTATTAATGTAAGGGTAATGTTTCTTGTTCTAGTATAGTTGTATATGTAATGTTCTAGAAAGTATTGACTCATGAATGAACTGACTCATTGTATGATATCGCGTTCTAGTAACGGTTCTAGCATCTTCCTAAACTACCCATATGGTAGTTTACTAGCAGTCTAACTGGTACGTATGGCCATAGATGTATACCCTTACTAACTAAGGGCATGGGATGAACTGGAAAGACCTTTTATGACTATATATGTACACATGATATATAACTAATATTTAAACGTCTTTCGGACTAATACCCAAAATCCCACCAGACCACATCTCAAGGCGCGAAAAGGAAATAGGGTGGATAGCCTTCCTAAGTCTTTTAAACATTTCTTATATAACTATACATATAGAGGCATGCAATTTATAATATAAAAGCATAAATGAATTTTGTAAGACATTTGAAATATAAACATTATTTTAAGAAAAGATCGACTTGATGTCGATCTATAAAACAATTTGAAGGCATAAGTATGATAAAACAGTTTTGAGTATAAGGAAACATTTGATTGAAACATAGTTGTAAATAAGTTTGAAAGGTAATGTACCGAGTAAGATGTACAGTGTAATAAATAGTTTAAAACATATAAAATGTTTATAAAAGTCATTTGAAGGAAACTGTTTGGTAAGACGGCTAATGAGTAGCCAAATCTTTCGAATGCTGTATATTAATCACATGTGATTGATGTAATAACTAGCGTAATTCTACTTATTAATCGCCTGTGATTGATATAATCCTAGCATGATTCTACTTGTATTCCCCCCCATAAAGCATTTAAAAGTAGTTTAAAACATTAGTTAAGGGGTATGAACTCACTTGGAAGTTTGAAGATAGAGAGGTGGAAAACCGGGCAGAGTTTCATCTCGGGAAACGGATTTTTCTCGGGATTCTTGGGAATCTCGGGAGTAAAATCGACCCTCGGGACTTGAGCAAAAAGACCAGAGCTTCGGGTTTGAACGGGCACGGAAATCGAGGCAAGATCGTGAGAGAAAGAGAGGAAATGAGCAAATTTTTCGGAAAGGCTCGCATCCCTTTTATAGGGGGCTGAACTGCCACCGTACGCGGGGCGTACGGGCGTACGCAACGCGTACCCGTGCGTCATCGCTTACGCACTTCGGACGGGACGGGTTGGATGGGACGGCGAGTCGGGTAGCTTCGCATAGGGGGACGTGGCCGATCCGAGGCCGTGGTCTCGAGTACGCGGGGCGTACGAGGGTACGCGGCGCGTACCTCGGCCCTAGGCTGACTCCCCCTTCGGATATTACCAAGATTTTTGATTTAAATTTAATTAAAATTTATTAATTAAACTTCAAAAAATCATATCTTCTTCATACGAACTCCATTTTCGACGTTCTTTATATCCTCGCGAAGGTGAGACTACGATCTACAACTTTCGTTTAGATTCCGTTGGCAAATTCCAAAATTATTTTTATTATTTATTTATTAAAATGACGTGATTAAAGAATTTCTTTAAAAATTCTCAACTTCTTTATCTGACGTCGGTTTTTGCCAGACTTTTTACCGCTGAAATACCATTGACGAGACCTTCAATTCTTGTTTAGGTCATTCGGCCAAAAGTCGCTCGATCTCCGATTCGAGTTTTTAGCTGTCTACTGTTATATCTGTAACTTAGAAAAATCACAACTTCCTCATACGAAGTCAGATTTGGACGTTCTTTTTATGTACGTTTACGGTTTGATGATATCTAAAAATTTCATTTAGATATCTAAGGCCAAAAACTATTGTATTGAAACTTCGCGTTTTACATCTATCAGTGTTGCGGTTTTTGCCGAGAATCTTCGGTTGGTCATAACTTCTTCGTTATAACTCGGATTTTAGTGTTCTTTATATGCTTGGAAACCTTGATACGATTCCTACTACTTTATTTAACCCAAATAAGATTTTAGGAACGTTATATTTTGACCAATTTTGATTGGTTTTACATTACATTGTCTCGAAATATCGGGTTGTCACATCATCCCCCTGTTAGAAGGAATTTCGTCCCGAAATTAGAATATAAGCAAGGAATCATGCAAGAATGATCGAGTCGTGAGGAGGAAACTTCCTGATCGATTGGTTCTAGCGCATCTAAGTGATAACGGGTCCTCGGTTGGCGTTCCAACGAACCTTCACTAACTGGCGATGGCGTTCCCTCGTCCGCTTGACCTCTCGGTCGAGGGTCACTACGGTTCTAATACGAAGGCGAGGATCTCGACGAGTGGACTTGCAAGGGTCCTAACGGAAAGGTATGGTTTCATGATCGAGATGCGAAGTGTAGAAAGTATGTTACTGAGTTCGCGGAGTAGGTCTAGTTTGTG